ACGCCTCATGATGAAAGCCGAGTTTCTTCGGAAGTCACGAGGCCGATGCCCCTTCTGACAACCAGAGCAACCATTTACTTAGGTACATGGAATGCTCACACAATGTGGGAGACTGGGAGAGTTTTCCAAATTGCTGCAGAAATGAGGAGATACAATTTAGAGGTGCTTGGGATCAGTGAAACACATTGGACGCAAGTTGGACAACAACGACTAGATTCAGGGGAGCTTCTGTTATACTGCGGACATGAAAAAGAAAATGTCCCACATACACAAGGAGTTGCATTGTTGCTGTCCAAACAAGCACGAAATGCACTTATAGGATGGGAATCTCATGGACCAAGGATCATCAAAGCCTCCTTCAAAACAAAGAAAACGGGCATTACAATGAACGTCATCCAATGCTATGCGCCTACCAACGAATACAATGAAGATGCTAAAGATCGATTCTACGATAGGCTGCAGTCAATCGTCGAGAAGTGCCCAACAAAAGACCTGACTATTGTGATGGGAGACCTAAATGCCAAGGTTGGAATTGACAACACCGGATATGAAGAGATCATGGGACGACACGGACTGGGAGAAAGGAACGAAAATGGTGAGAGATTTGCAAATCTATGTGCCTTCAATAAACTGGTCATAGGCGGGACTATATTCCCACATAAACGCATACACAAAACCACATGGACTTCACCGGATCACAGCACACAGAACCAAATCGACCATATCTGCATCAACAAAAAGTTCAGGAGGACGATGGAGGACGTGAGAACAAAGAGAGGAGCTGATATAGCATCAGATCATCACTTGCTGGTCGCCAAGATGAAATTGAAACTCAAGAGGCACTGGACAACGGGGCGGACAATATCACAAAAATTTAATACGGCTCTTCTTCGGGATAATGACAAACTCAACAAATTCAAGATAACCCTCAGCAATAAGTTCCAAGCCTTTCATGATCTACTCAATGGAGAAGGAACTACTATGGAGAGCAACCGGAAAGAGATAAAAGAGGCAATCACTTCAACATGTCATGAGGTTCTGGGCCAAAAGAAGCACCATCACAAGGATTGGATCACGGTCGATACACTGGATAAGATTCAAGAAAGGAGGAACAAGAAAGCAGCAATCAATACCAGCCGTACAAGAGCAGAAAAAGCCAAGACACAGGCTGAATACACAGAAGTAAACAAGCAAGTGAAGAGGAGCATCAGAGCTGACAAACGTAAATATGTGGAAGACTTAGCAATGACGGCGGAAAAGGCTGCGAGAGAAGGAAACATGAGACAACTGTATGACACAACAAAGAAACTCTCCGGAAATCACCGTAAACCAGAACGACCAGTGAAAAGCAAGGAAGGCAAGATAATCACCAACATTGAAGAACAACAAAACAGGTGGGTAGAACACTTTAAAGAACTCTTGAATCGACCAGCCCCACTGAACCCACCCAACATCGAAGCAGCACTCACGGACCTCCCAATTGATGTTGGCGCACCGACAATTGAAGAAATCAGCATGGCTATCAGACAAATCAAGAGTGGCAAAGCAGCAGGACTAGACAGCATTCCAGCAGAGGCACTGAAAGCAGACGTAGCGGCAACTGCAAGGATACTCCACATTCTCTTCAGAAAGATCTGGGATGAGAATCAGGTACCAAAAGACTGGAAAGAAGAACTTCTAGTCATATATCAAAGAAAGGCGATCTCAGCAACTGTGACAACTACAGGGGAATCACTCTTCTCTCAATACCAGGAAAAGTCTTCAACAGCGTATTGTTAAACGGGATGAAGGACTCCGTAGACGCACAACTTCGCGACCAACAGGCAGGATTCCGTAAGGATAGATCGTGCACAGACCAAATCGCAACTCTACAGATCATTGTGGAACAATCAATTGAATGGAATCCATCGCTCTACATCAACTTCATTGACTACGAAAAAACATTTGATAGCGTGGACAGAACAGCCCTATGGAAGCTTCTTCGACACTACGGCGTGCCTCAGAAGGTAGTCAATATCATGCGGAGTTCCTATGATGGATTAAACTGCAAAATCGTTCATAGAGGACAGTTGACAAAGTCGTTCGAAGTAAAGACCGGTGTCAGGCAAGGTTGCTAACTCTCACCCTTTCTCCTTCTCCTGGTGATCGACTGGATCATGAAGACATCAACATCTGAAGGGAAGCACGGGATACAGTGGATAGCTAGGATGCAATTGGATGATCTAGACTTCGCAGATGATCTGGCTCTTCTATCGCATACGCAACAACAAATGCAGGAGAAGACAACCAGTGTAGCTGCAGCCTCAGCAGCAATAGGTCTCAATATACACAAAGGGAAAAGCAAGATTCTTCGATACAACACAGCATGCACCAATCCAATCACAATTGACGGAGAAGCTTTGGAAGATGTAAAAACCTTTACATATTTGGGCAGTATCATCGATGAACACGGTGGATCTGATGCAGATGTGAAGGCACGGATCGGCAAAGCAAGAGCAGCATATTTACAACTGAAGAATATCTGGAACTCAAAACAATCGGCAACCAACACCAAGGTCAGAATTTTCAATACAAATGTCAAGACAGTTCTACTGTATCGGACAGAAGCCTGGAAAACCACGAAAGCTATCATCCAGAAGATACAGGTGTTTATTAACAGTTGTCTACGCAAAATACTTCAGATCCGCTGGCCGGACACTATTAGCAACAACCTACTGTGGGAGAGAACAAATCAGATCCCAGTGGAGGAAGAAATCAGGAAGAAGCGCTGGAAGTGGATAGGACACACATTGAGGAAAACACCCAGCTGCGTCACAAGACAAGCCCTCATATGGAATCCTCAAGGTCGAAGGAGGAGAGGAAGACCAAAGAATACATTACGCCGGGAAATGGAGATAGATATAAGAAAAATGAACAAGAATCGGATGGAACTAGAAAAGAAGGCCCAGGACAGAGTTGGTTGGAGAATGCTGGTCGGCGGCCTATGCTCCATTGGGAGTAACAGGCGTAAGTATGTATAATAATAGACCTAATCCTAGAACTGCAGATTTGTTAAGATGTAACTATCTAATTTATAAAATCTTACATAGAAGTCACTTCACTGACTACAATGACTCATCGTATCGTGACAATTACCAATATATGATGGAGAACACATTCAGGCCGGAGATAGAACAACACATTTTATATGAGTAACAGCGAGCTGTACAAAGCGACCACACCTGCGAAGTTGAGCCATGCCACCCGGTCAGTTAGAACTAACTAAATCCATTCTTTCCACCTTCTTCATCATTGGATTTTTCTCCGTGTTAAGTGTTGAATATTTATTTACTCAACTGTCTCGTGTTCAGACTTAGGGGATCGTGTCGTTGGGGTCCAATGTCAATACAAACTAATCCAACATCATCGAAAGTGTACAGGTATTTATTATTATTTGTTGACGCAAAATATCCGGATGCAACCAGTAATAACCTACGTTAGCAGGGAACAAACTAGCTTTCATTTCACGAGAGAATCGAGAAAAGCTACTGGAGGTGATTATGCGAACAATAGGAAACTTTCCGATACAAGCTTTCGTTGTAAGAATCATGCTACTATTTTTTGGAACCGCCGCTTTGTATGTTTGTTTTTTAGGTTATTTAAGTAGTTGAAATACTCACCACACTCATTTTCTTAAAAGAAGTCAGAAAAGTATGCCTTCATTAGCCTCTTCCTATCTCAATTAGTTACCTAATTGGAGACGGAATGTTCTGCATCAATGTCACTATGTTGTACACACATAGGGAAGTCTCGAAAATCGGAGTGTCGCATATTGCCATCCCAAACCCATTGCTTTTTAGCTTAAAAAAAGGAAATTCAAAATTATGTTGTAGCCCAGACACTTGCTATGACTTAAAGCTTTAGAGAAGCATGGACGGAAAGCAGGTCTTACAAGGTCTCCTAAGGGATTCGACGTCACTGAAGAAAGGTATGGAGAATATTGATATTGAACGTAATGTGCGAAAACGCCATGTAACGAACCCGCTACCTCAAAATATCATAAACAAATTTAATTTTGTGTTATCACCTTACAAACACCTTTACTGAACAACTTATTACTCCCGAGTGTTTGGAAATTATCGCCAGTTGCATTTCCAAACACTTTTGTTCCGAGAATACGTCCTCTCCCCGGAAACGATATCGTAGTTTGATCTTTTATTCCTGGAGGTTCCTAGATTCTCAGTGTTAAATTTTAGACTTGTATGATAAATTTTGCAGAGGTTAACTAAGGTAAGAAACTACATAAGAAACGATATCACTTACCAATGAAAAGATACAAAGCAGAGGTTCTATTCACTTGCACCCCATACTTCTTAGATATGAAAAACTTACCATATCTCTCAAACACAGCCTTTTAATGGAATATTTAAGACGAAAGCACAACGTGGATACAAAACTACTTGGGCATATTTACCATTTTAGGTCCTGGGATTTCAGCACTTTACAGCGTACCAACTTCATAATAAGAATGTTGACTGTCGCACAAATCTCATATTACAGATCTATTTCTAGATTTGTCTGTTAGCATATACTAAATGTATCGAAGTCCAAACTTTTAAGGATGCATAGGGTTACCACAAGATCCAGAATAATTGTGATATTGATGAATTGTCAGATATTTTTTGGTGTGTCACACTCTTTCGTATCAAATTTAAAGGATTGTTAACTCGTATTTCTACTGATTAAAAAATTTCATTCATGATCAAATTCAGGAAAAGCGATTACTGTTTGCGGCATTTTGAAAAACACCAGCTGTTCAGCTGGTCCTGTCTTCTCACAGTCGTAATTTTAACATAAGACTAAGAACAGTTTTCCCTCTTCCAAAAGGGTTTCTTTGCTTCTAAATTTTAATTATCTACTCACCATACATTTCCACAATTGTAACATATTGACAGAGCAGTTTGAAGTACGTTCTGAATTCAAACAGTGCATTGTTAATCACATCTTTTTTGGTAGTAAATATGTTTCTGAATACTTTGTCACCTAAATTTTATGTGGCTCTAACAGGAACAAGCTCATTAATATCGGGGCTTATTTTGGTATTGATATCTTTTATTTTAACAGTTAGATTTTTGAGTGGTGGTACTTTAAGAAGTACGGAAAGTCGTTTATTGAGCAAATTTCTTGGACCCACATATATCCACTCATTGGTGGAAGTGATGAGGATAATGAATGTGATAGTGTGGAATCTAATGGTCCCCTAGCGTCTACACAAGGTTTGTTAGTATTTGTTTTTTATTCCCTCTAGAGTGTAAGGTGTGGAGAAATCCTTATAGTTTGTTTAGGGGGGCGGAGTATCGAAAGTTTTTTCACGAAACAGGTCGCGACCCCCTGACGTATTATGATATGAACTTGTCTGCCCAAGATCACCAGACGTTTTTTACATGTGAAGCAGATGGCGGAAAGCCTGAGTATGAAAGTATGTTGTTTTTTAGTACGAAAGATTTCAAGTTATGCAACTCTCATGGAGGGAACGAAATCACGAAGAAAGAATCAAAAAGACCAAGGAGGCCTTGGCTAAGAACCCTGAATGTGCAACTGCAATGATCTTGCTTGCAGAGGAGGAGTGCTCCTACATCGTAGATGTGAGTTCATAAGTTGCTATTTAATATCTTTCTCATGTTCATACTTTTCTTGTACTTCATTTAAGGTATAGTATACGCACATCATGATTTAATGATACATAATTTGCCTCCGTATTTAATGTAACATCGGGAATACGAATAATTTACAACCGTACGCAACAGCCAGTTGCCACGCTTTTATCTGCTTCGGTTTTGCATCTGGGCAGTATCTCAGCTCTCACATGAATTGAATGATTTATGTGGCGCGTATGTGTTTGGTGCCCTTTTGTACCAATCTTCATGTGTTTAAATAAATAAAAAAATGAACAACCATATTCAATAACCAACTACTGTTGAGTATTAAATTAAGTTGATAACATTTCCTTATGAGGGTTTCTGTCTCATTTCAACAGCTGTAGTGGGGATATTCCTTGTATTTAAGCACGACAGACAACTGTCACCCATCGAAGATTTAGAACATTCATACCATACATAGATCTCAAATTTCTTACAGCTCAGTCGCCGCTGGCTGTCAACACTTAGCAGTAGTTTAGCATTACTATTGGATTCACCTATTTATCTTACTAACTTTAGTAGTTTTAGGTTTTTCAGTATTTTATGCTTTGAAGCTAATTGTAATACAGTTTGTTATATTCTTGAATGCTTTATCAGTACCTTAGTAGCAGTATATTTCTTCAGTGGTATCGTCCTTTTACTGTGATAGGTTTGCCGTAGTTTTCCAGAAATATCGGGCTCACTATCACATAGGAATTTATTTATTTTAACACATAAATATCAGTACAAGAAGGCACCAAATACATATGCGCCACACAGATCTCATATGATATGTGTGAGGGCTGTGATACTGCCCGGGTGCCCAAACCGAAGCAGGTGGTTTTCTTGGGGGGCCACACCCCGAGCCTTCGACCTGAAGATCTGATCTACAAGGCAGTGGAGCATCGTAAGGAGATGCAGTCCCATGGTAGCCGGTGACCAACGATTGGTTCATATGCCATCTGTTCCCGCAGCATACTGGAGCCCATGTGCACCATTGATTTGGGATCCGGTTATAGCGCCGGACATTCGCTTTTCGTCCTCTCATTTTTGTAAACAACACCCCCGCCACGAGAAGGCAGTGAGTAGGACTTCCCTGGCAGGGGCTGTATACGCGTGGCCATGTGAGAGCATTTCGAGAGGGGGAGCGGACTCCCCCCACTCTCGGCCGTACCAGGGCATTTGGGGGCATCACATAGGAATAGGAACGACCGGGCGATTACACCAGAAATGAAGGACATCTGTCCTAATATTATTTGCTCACTATATTTTTTCAGCGCATGAAACCATCTACTTACATTTTTGTATACATAACAGTTGTTACATGCTGTCTAAACATCATAGATTTTCGTTACCCACTGATGTTTGTTCTCGACGTAAAGATTTTTAGTGAACCTAGATTTAAGATTTGTCGGCCTTTGTACATTCAAAGCAAGCTAACATCCATTAATCTTTAGCGATCCACATTTCCTTGCATCCAGAAAAAAACAATTACTATTATCATGTTTCTGTACTCGGTTTCAGGATATATCATGTTAAATACCCACCAGACTAGTAACCATTTTTAAAATGTCATTTCTAAACACTAATTACCATCCAAGGGGGGATACTAATACAAACACAAAGAGTAAATTAAATCTAAATAATCAATCATAGCTCAATCCAGATGAGTTTTAATAGATAAACTGGTGTCATCAAGTAAAATATCTGAAGTAAACGTAACTATGTATTTACCGTTTGCAATAAATTATTAATTGTCATACTTAAACGTGGATTTCCAACCCGAAATTCTTAATTTGGCCAATCTATAAATTTGTCAATTGGTATATAATATTTGGGACAAAGAATAGTTGTTTGCCTAAAATAAGTTAGACCTTACATGCGTTTTGGATTAACGTAAAAATTCAGATTTCCGATGTAAAGCCGTATTTACTTACGTAAATATTGATATTGATTGTACCAACCGCCTGTGAATTTTTCTCGTTTTCGCGTTTAAAACTGATCTCATGTTCAAAGTGTATCTTCAATCAAATCTGTGTTTCTTGCTTGTTTGCTGTCCTTGAGTCTAACTATTTAGTCACTAATTCATCCTAAGTATTTTGATAATGTTGCTTATTCAAAGCTAAATTTACAGTTGATTTTAGTTTGTTCACATACTAGGACAAACTGGTCGGCTTTCTTTTAGATGTGTCTTAGAGATATTAATCACATTGTTAAAAAATTTCTAGTGTCTGCAAGAGAAACATGGGTACAGCGGAACTGTAAATTGAGATTAGAGTTTTCAAGAAATAAATGTTTTGCTTTAGTGGCAGCCCAGTCAGTGACATAGAAACTCACGGAACATAGTTCCTTGTGGCATGTTTTCATTGAAATGACGGGCGCAGTTGTTTATACTATTAGACATGACCTAGTTAGCGGTTAGTCGTCAATTTCTATTTCCTTCATTGAATTTTTTATGTCGGATTTCTGTTATTTTATGGCTTTATTCGAAGGTGTTTATTTTAAGTAATCTAAATTAAATATACTGTTTCTACTAAATGTTAGTCCTTGTATATAATTTTTTTTCCAGGTAGAAAAAGTATACAGACAAGCATACAAAGTTGCTGAGACAAATCTTCGTCGTTCTCAACAGCTTCAAAATCACAGTCCAGCACATGAATCAATGTATCGGAGGGATATACATGCATTTGTTTTCATTCGACGTCGACTTGCAATGTGTGCAAGAAAATTGGGTAAATTGAAAGAAGCAATAAAAATGATGAAAGACGTATGTGTTCCATGTTGTTTTGAGAAAATATTTCTAGCTACTGTGCATCATTATTTTCCATGGTCAGTATTCTATAATCTATATCTTAAAAGATAAGTGTTCACTTGCAATATATTTCAAGTTAGAGAAATATACATTCAGGGGATCAATAATGAGATTGGCTTGGTCATTTATTGTTAAAGAATGAGTGCAGCTTTTATTTAAGAAAGTTTTTATGGCCATTAACTCGTTTACTTGTAAAGCGTATTCTTTATATTTTAGTGTATATACTTTCTGTAATTAGATTGATTAGGTTAACCTACCTTAAGTCTGTTCGTTTAACTTGTTACTTTTTATCAATAACGTAAAAGGCAAAAACAAAATAGATTAATATTTCTAGGTGAGAAATACGTTCCTGCAAATTTAAAGGAAATGATACTCATTCAGAAAAATGGAGATAAGTGCATCTTCCTGATGAATCGCGCTAGTTGCGACATGTCAAATGTCTTATCATTGCAATATGCATAGTACGATATTACTATAAGTTCTTCTGTCATTCAAATCAAACCATGATTCCAGGTAAGGAAATTAGTGTCAGTGGTGCTTATATGAAAAAGCGTATTATATAATCAGAAGAATTGTAATGATTCATCAGGAAATTCCTTCGTATAACTAACATCTGGTTTTATCTTCAACCTTTTCTTCAGGAATGAATCAAATTCAGAATAACTATGGTTTCATGATTTTTAAAGCTATTTTGTTTTAAATAACATGTCCTTGTTTATCACTTGATAATTTTAATCCTTCCTCGCAAGATGCTTATTATTTATTTATTTGAACACATAAATATTGGTACAGGGGGGCACCAAATATATATGCGCCACACAAAACAATGAGAATTTAAGAAGGGAAAAAAGTAAGGAACGTTGGGGATTATAAAATAAAAAAAAGAACAATAATGGGGGGAGACGAAAAGGTACACTCAGAAGAAATCTTTCAGTTAAGGAAGAAGCAACCGCCTTTTACGAAAAAAGTAAAAGAAGGTTACAGCAGGATCGCCACTGACTTCTATTCTAAGCCATATCTGATAACGTCTCTAGCCACTGTGTTACACCATCTCTCGGACCCCAGCCAGGGAGTCGTGAAGGACCAACACAAGCCAGCCCTTTGCAGCTTTCTTTCATACCACGACACCATGTCATACACTGACCACCTCTCCGCCCCAAATGCCCTGATATGGCCGAAAGTTGGTTGGGTTCGCCCTCCCTCGGGATTAATCCATATTGTTTTAATGTACTAGGCACTATTACATTAATATGCTTGCCTTTTACAACCGTTAACATACTAGTGATAGACTTTTTTTGATAGACTATGTATATAACGAAATTTCCGGTTATATCTAATTTCAACTCCATATCTATGCTAATTTTAGCTTATAAAGGAATATCCTAATTTAAATCTTTTCAATATCCATGAAAATCTTATTGAATGCTACCTAGCTGCCCAGCAATATGCTGATGCTCAGGCTTTCCTAGCTAAATACGATGGTAAGTTGTTTGAAAATAAGATAGTGATCATATATTTTAATTATTTAGTGGAAACTCAATAGATATTGCAGTATTTTGTCAACTGTATATAATGTTCATTTGGCTTAATCTTCCTATGCAATATTTCCACCGCAACTGTTACCTTGAAACGGGGGTTAGCTTTTCCTACCTCCAAAACAACCAGAACACTGGACAGAATTATACAAAGAATAATTCAAACGGTCTCTTGTCAAACCAACGTCGAGCACTTTCTAATATACTTTTTGATCCGTGACTACTGACCCAGACAACAAAGCGGAGATTCATAAAGAATTTCAACTGCTGGAACATCATCGGTCTTAAACGACCAACTTTTAACATTTTTTTTGCGGAAAACGGAAAACTTTTGGTTAGGGAACAGACTAGCTAGTTTAAAACTTTTGAGTAACAGATTGTCCTATCATTTTGAAATAAAAATCTTCGTTCCTATCTTTAAAAAGAACTTAAATAATTTTATTATTAGCATCTCGAAGGCTTTGTACACATATCTCTCAAACAGGGTGGATGCATACGCCATCCTCCCTCCTTTGTTTCAGCTTAACAATAAGTTCTATAGAGTACTACTTCTGATACTGTTACTAGTTCTACTCTGAGTTCTTTATTAATAGTTTCATTTCATGCTATTTTAGGATAATAACCTGAACCGATGCACATATGTGCTGGTTTCTGCGTTGCATTTAACTGACTTTTAGGTAGTGTCTCCCTATATACAACACTTTTCTTCCATTTTGGCATCGATGTCATTCCGTAAACAGCTCCAATTAAGGGAAACGGTAATGTAAATCTGCTATTCTGACACACGTCTTGCTGTGCGACAACATAACCCGTCCAAATCACACTTAATCAGTTATCAATCGGTTTCCATAATTAGGGCATGTAATTTACATTTTCTGGATGTATAGTACTTCTATAAGACCAGAAGACGCTCTTTGAAGGTATAGGATCGGAGAAATGCAAAGGACGTAACAGCGGTCACCAATGGGTCTCTAACTTTATTCTTCGACCTTGGCATGAACTCTTACCACGAAACCTATCTACGAGCACGACTCAAATCAACAATCGTTAACCTTATGGACTGATTCTGCGTCCTGGATTTTGAGGAAGTCTTATCTCTTGTAAAAACTGCAGTGACATCTATTAGCAACCTAACCTAAAAGACTAATAAGGGCTAGTGTAACTTGAAGGCCACTACCAAGTTATTGGTTATTCCCATCCTGCATCACCGTCTGTTGACTAAGATAGTATCTGGATTTGGAGAGCTAGAAATTATTCCGTAAGACTGGTCACCATTTTCAATTTCTCGAGTATTTGGAAAAGGAGTTTTTTTAAAAAATGCACCAAATAAAATGACAGTGTTGTGATCGAAACATCAACTATTACCACTGTTCATCCCCTCGACAGAACTCGTGGTAATCAAACCCCAGGAAATTAGACTGGTTTAAGACCTCGACATATACATTTACAAACAAAACTTCTCCATCGGGTTTAAGAGCATAAGCATACTTAAAAACTCGATAGCCGTTATATTTCTTGACCCAATTGATCGATAAGTTTTATGTCATTTTCCGTGGTCAAAAGGTCTACTAAAGGGGATGCATCAATCAAACACGTTTATTTATATCGGATTTGATTTATTGACTATTTGATTCTGCAGTTATTGATTTCTCTATGGCACTTTATGAGCAAAAATATAAAACTCGACTAACTGAAGTAAGTGGGAAATATGCTACGTTTTCACAGAGATGAATCTACTAAAGTGGGTACGGTCAGACCAATACGTGATATTAATCTATTAAGCCATTAGCCCTTTCTGTGATCGATGTTCGTAAGTCCAGGCGGCATTAGCTCCTCTATACAATCGTAATCAAATGCTATGGATGTGAGCTAAAATCGATTGTAGGTGAAGTAGACCCATTCATTCTTAATCTTTGTTTAAATGGTGAATGTAACATTATTTTACACAAATTCTTTCGCAGTTCGATCCGTTTTTATTTGAAAAGTATATTCTCAATGTCATGCTTATTGATACTATCGTTTTGAATGCACTGCTCTTTTTTGATAGTACTTGCTTTAAGTATAAAACTTCAGGCTAACATAGTTTTATTTCGCATCATTTCTATCCTTTTGCAGATATCAACTATCCGAAATCAGCTACTATATGTTACACTGCAGCTTTACTTAAAGCCAGACAAGTCTCTGAAAAGTAAGTTTTAATTTGTTATATTGCTTAGCTGTACATTGTTTTCAATATGGCTGTAACGTGGACTTTGATAGTTGCTATGCGTTTGCTACTTGCGAGGCCAATAAAAAGGCGATCGAAACGAAGACAACAAGTTGCGTTTGACGTGGCAAAACTATTTTGTCAAAACTGAACTATATGAATGGCCTGAAGCCGACCAGTCTGATCAAATATAACAGCTAATAGGTTTCGGAGCAGAATTCAAGGAGCCATGAGGAATAGATTAATAGCAACCGCTTCACCTTTCATATGTAATTACTGTTACTTGGAGACTTACTTGTCATACTGAAATCTTATGTTGTAAATTTTTATTTAGATTTTCTCCGGACTTAGCGTCACGTAGGGGTTTGAATGCAGCTGAACTGAGTGCTGTTGAAGCTATTCATCGAGCTGTTGAATTTAATCCACATGTACCAAAAGTGAGTTCGCCGTTATGTCGATCCTTCATAATCTTAGTTTTAAACACTGTACTTTAAATAAAGCGGTGGTCGTTTTCTAGGCGTTCGGTTTTTAGTCAGATTCATATTCCGCTTCATCCACTTTAGTCCGAACACCCAGACAATATTACTGACTCTTACAGTTAGTATGATTCGAAATCTAAACATGTGAGTAATCAGTTAGTCATATGCATCATTGACATGTGTACATCAGTTCAAGTTGACATCCCCCATTATTACAGGAAGAAGAAACTGTCAGGTCATTTGTAAATGAGTTGATAGCCGAATTCATATGGAGCTTATAGTTTGAAAAAATTAACACCCAAACAAGTGCAAACTGTTGTTAATATTTGTTGGCTCTCTGTTTACAAAAGTTTGTACATTATACTTATGTGCACAATATCGTCACATACTGTTAAAGCACTGAAAGAACTTGCCAATTAAGTTGAGTATTTTGTTGACACTCCCACAAATTTGTCGAGTACTTACTTGACCGAACTGTTTACATTCTGTATCATAATGCAGTCGGTTAGAAGAATTGTACCAGTCTTCAATTTGTATAATTCCATTTTAGCTGTGAAGCAAATGCTTGAAGTGTAGCTAACATCTTACTACAGGTGATTTATGTTTGTTTTCGTGTAGTTACTTTAATCAGAGAATCATCCGTGTAAATTGAATTCCTGTTAAGGAAAAACACATTACATATCAGTTGCGTTTTCCGTCTTCATCTAATTGCAGTTTTCTTATCTAATGGTTTACAGTACTTCATCTTACTGTTTTCTGCTATAGTCAAATTACTTGAATAAAATATTTCCCATTCATGATAATGTATATCTAACATGTTAATCCAGTTCGAGCTATTCATTATGCTCGGCTACAGAAACTCTTGTATTAGTTTCTAATTTTGCTCCGTGTAATTGGGAACATCTCAAATAAACTATAGCCAAATAATTAAAAATCTTTAGAATAGTCGATAGATTTCATTGGGCTTCCAAACATACATCCTTACACTGGTTAACTTTTAACCGAATACATTGGAATGAAAGATAATCGCTAGTATCTATCAACCTTCTACAGAATTGTAGAGCAGTCTATTCAGTTACTTACTACTGATAAAAGTTCAGAACTGGTTACTTTTTCTAAATTTATCCACTTCAGTATATCACAAAGATTACTTAATTATTTGATTTTTGTCATATAAGTTTCTAAGCCACTGAGCGAACAAGGTGAGGTGATTAGATAAATCTCAATAGTTATTTTTTTGTATTTTAAATATTCGTAGGGTAAATTGTTATCGGGAATTTATTACTGTAATAATGCATTGATTAAATTAAATGACTGTCTTAATAATTAAACTCATGACTTGAAAGTAATATCCATTAAGTGGTAGTAATTCCGTGATGTCTTTTTACGCGCCCTTTAATTAATCTGGTCTATTCAGACGGAAGAATTTGGAACTTAACTAAATGCAAAACTCCGGCGATCCTGATTATCGTTTTAGCATTTACTGTTATTATTTATCTCTTAGCGAAAACAACAAAGATACTCTTGATATTGATAATAGTCAAAAAGCACTTCGTAGTATTTTTTTTCTAGGCGAAAAGACTTATAAAAGAATAAATCAATCGGTCATGATTCAAAGCATTCTTTTTACTGACCAATTCGTTTTCTACCAATCGAAACACCATAGTACAATTCTATATTACTTTTAAATGGAAAATCACATATTTACTTCGCTGGATTTGTTTCATTGAAATTCTCTTTCAGTACCTTCTTGAAATGAAACCTCTAATACTGCCTACAGAGCACATTTTAAAACGTGGCGATTCTGAAGCCATAGCATATGCATTTTTTCATTTAGCTCATTGGAAAGCTGTAGAAGGTGCAATTAATTTATTATATTGTACATGGGAGGGAACTTTTCGACTCATTCCATATCCTCTAGAAAAAGGAAACCTCTTTTATCCATATCCCCATTCAACTACAGCGACCGATCGAGAACTTTTGCCAAGTATGAATACTTTGTTTTTGTTTTGTCATTCTAGTCTCGTGTGGCGCATATATATCTGGTGCCCCTTTGTACTAATATTTATGTGTTCAAATAAAATAGAAAAGAATAAATTATAGTCTCATAAATGATGTCAAAATATATTTTGGTGAATTACATCGTTTACGTGGTTGAATTTAATTAACTGTTTTATAGATCACTTGTTAAATCCTCTCCTGGAAAACACGATATTGTTTGGTATGTTTTATTTCAACTAGCTAGCGTTGAAATCCTAAACGTTTGTGAGAAGAATCATTTATGAACCCACCTTTAGTCGGAAATTAAGATCTTATGTTGCTACTTCTTTCGCAGTATAGGCAGATATTATGGGATACAGAACAATTAGAAATAGGTTATGCAATTCGTAAAAAGTTATGATTGTTAGGAGAATCGGCTTAAATTTATTAGGTTAAGCTTGAAGATCATGTTCTTGGTTTTATTGATGATATTGTGCTCTACTTTTTAAACTTCAAATGAAATTTACGGGCTGGAAATTGAAAAACCGTCTTGTCAATGACTATGAAAATATAATTTTATTAGAAAGTTGACCTTACAGCTCAAATCGCAGTACAAATTACAAGAGGCGTGAAAAAATCCACAATATTTACTAAGAAACAACTAACATACCTTCATAAATAAAGATGTCATTTCCTCCTATAAAGACGAAATGTTGAGAGTTCTGGCTTTGAACTAGCGCTACCATCACTAACGTGCTAAAATATATTCAGGCTTTTATGTGTAAGATGTTCATGTCTAAGTGCTTCGACCAGTAAAGTTGAAAAAAAGACTTTTCGGTACTTCCAAAAACTTGGTTGTATCAAAGTGAATAGAATCCCCACAACAGATGACATATCTTGTTGGCTAGAAACGTAGCTTTCTATTTTCAATTACAAGTAAGAACGAGAAAAAAATCTCTCCTTCTTGGTAAAATAAATTTTTATATGAATAGATGTGATAAATAAGTTCAGTGTTAAAATGCGTCAAGTAAACTTTAATTATAATCTTGATATCATTAAATTTGAGTTTATGTCTGAAAGTCTATAGAAAATATTACCGTTAAAATTACAAGCGCCCATATTATTTTGCAACAACCAACGTGAAGCTCTAGATTTATTTCCATGTGTAATAGACTTTATTTATTATAAAATGCCATGAGTCATTTTGTACATACCCGTAACTTTAAAAGAAATACATATATATCATAACGAATTTCCTTTGTGCTCTCTTCTTATATTTAGGTTTTCACACACTATCTGTGTATCCGAAAAAAGATGTGCCATTTTTTATTCTATTTATTGCGGCTCTATGCTCTTTAACAGCTATACTTACATGTTTAACTCATGTTTATCCTGAACAAATGGGATCACTTTCTAGTAAGGTAAGTACAAATAACTTTTCAAAAGTTATGTTTAAACGTGACTATAAGTTTAGTATAATTGCCACTAGTATTTGAAGTTTCAATACCTACTTAAAAAACAACAGAAAACTGTCATTTACATATTTTGTATTTCTAAACTACTTAAATGATAAAGTCAATCAACTGCCGTATTACACAGCATTGGATACAACTGATCACGTAATGGATGCGATTACTTACCTCATATCGTAAATATTAGTTTAAGTTGCACTTTTATTTATTTTATGGTATTTTTTACGTATTAATAATTATTAGATTATGCGGGCTTACAGTTTAGTGAACAATTTAGCTTGACGTTCCGTTCAGTTTCATTGATTGATACTACAGTTTAGATTCTGAAACCTACTAATTTCCCTTCTTTCACAGACTCTCAACTGGTTTTTCAGTCCAATCAATTATCTATTGGAAAGACTAGAAGGATTACTACTTTTGTTAGCTCCAACGTCTGCTCGAAAGCTTTTAACTTAAACAACTTAATTCACATTCAAAAAGCATTTTTTGTCCTCCAGATGATAATTGTTTCAGTCTTAATGTCATTGTGTTGCTTTTTCGTTGTTTATTTCTATTGCAATACCGTTGTTTTGTTCGGTACTTACTTTTCCGATATTTCACTAATATCATAATTATCTTGAAACAATTTTTATTTGTGTTTTGTCCACAAAAGTGTAGTCCGCAATTTACTATGAAAAAAATATAACTTGCATTTTTTAAAAATCAGATTTGTATTTAGTTATTTGTCTGCGAAATCAAAAAGTGGTTACGTTTTTCTATCGAAATGTTTATTAGTTTGATTCCATTCTTCTTCAGTGAATCCAAGCAAGGAGATTTCATCGGGATCCATTAAATTGTTCTCTGCTCGACAACGCAAATAACCGGCCGCTTCAGATCTACATAAAGAATTATTCCAATGATTCTTCTTCATACATTTAGTCCATTCCAACATAGCAACTTTACATACTCCATGATGATCTAACGGAAAGCTTCCTCTTAATGGAGGAAGAACTTGAGATCTATTCGGAATGTAACCTGTGGAACTGGCGGACACTGTAAGAAATATCCCCATCCCTAAAAATAAACAGAAGAAATTTAATGGCACATATAAATAATAAACAGATAATAGAAGGATAATCTGATTCTACAAAAAGACTACCCGTTTACCTACCCTTGCTTATAGATGGTTATTATTACTGTTTTCGAGCTACTATCAAGTTCAAGCGCAATTTTACGTAAGCTCACTTGACAGTTTAGATACATAACGCTGCGACTTATTTCGAAACTGAATTTTGACCTCACCCCAAATGTTCTTTTAGAAAGTTGAAAATTTTGGTATCATGGTAACTGTTATTATGACACATCTTAGAAACGTACTGGTTTACAGGTAACAAGTGTATTAAACAATGTCACGACATTTGTATGCTCGGTTGTTTTATGGTTATGTAATGCTGCAACTGATAGTTAAACTACACAACAACTAATGAAACATAATTTCAAGTTCAGTGTATCTTAATGATAGCAGTTGGTGCTGGATAAGATAGACATTCGATGCCGTCTGTGTTGCTTAGTTTACATATGTGTCAAATATGTTTGCACCAGAATGATATGTATTTTGGGACCACAGTTAGTAATGCCTGGGTTAGGAACAGAATACTAGGTGGGGATATGAAATCGATTAACGAGGTAGTAAATCTTCATCAAATGAGACGGTTGGGGTGTGTTACGTATCCCAAACCACCGCCTACCTCTATGGACGATGCTTTCTGGTGTGAGAGTAGGTTGGAAGAAAGCTAGGAGCGGTCAAAACAAAACATGACATCAGTCCACGAAGTTGTTGGTAATTGAATCTAGCCATGTTGATAGGTGTAGACTACATGGTTGGGGTCCTCATGATTCTCGTGTCCAGTGGTTAGAGACTGAAGGATATGGCCCAAAATCGTTTGCATTGGTGCGCGTTCATTCACTTTCCTTATTTCTTTAGAATCTAGTTATTGGAACTTCCTTATACCTGTTTTCCTTTTATACGTACAATTACTGATACTGTTATTACTATTACTTTTGGATTTGTATAACAAGAACTTTTTCATTGTGCTAATATGGTATGGAAACTTGAACCGATAATCCTATGTGCCAGGTTCTCCTTTGCAAATGACTGAGTGACCTAACACTACTGCCGCCTAAGGCTCAAAATTTCCTTTATTAGTCCTCGAACCGCAAACGAGCAAAGATGATTTCAAATTAGTCTATACACTCGTATAAATTTAAACTGTACATTTATGCAGGGTACGAGTAGAGAAACTCGGACGGAATAAATTTCAGGCATATCCAAATGAATGTAGGTGATTGCATAGGATTTATCTTTATGCCCAACAACTAAAAGAATCGCCAATGAAAGTTAATGGAAGTACGGTCAGTTGTTCTTGACCAACATACATCGAGGCACAAAAGTGCGTCAGTTCAGGTTGCTATGCCACATTACCATGACGTGATGTAATTGCGATAAATAGCAAGATAGTTAAAATAATAATTCTGCGAGTTAAATATTAGAGGATAAACTTTCAAAATAAGGATGAGTGTGGAAAAACATGGAACAATTTTGAAGGTCAACATTGAGAGAAAAATAAGGATTGAGTGATCGATTATAACCCAAGTCACTCGGAGTCTGTAATCACTAAATGCGCAGACACGAACCAGGTAGCCCTCACCAAGTCCTGGAGCAATCATTTCATAAATTGTTGACTTCATAGTCTGATATCATGTTTTGGTTTAGCAACCTCTCCCAAGTCTACTTAAACATATTTCCACCTCAACCAGCATTGTACTTCAGAGAAGGCGGTGGCTAGGTATCCGAAGAACATGTCTTAAGCACAATAGTCGATAAAGATTGATAGCTTTATTAACCCTTCGATATATTGCCGAGCAGCTTACACCATAACCACAATGCACATTTGGTTGTTCCAAAGTCAAACACCAAATCAGCGGAATACCGCGCGTTATATTCATCTCTTGATTGGTGAACGGACACCTCGCGTACCCTAGAAGTAGCCAAATCAGAAAGATCGAGAGAGCTTTTTGAACCAATGTGGTGATTCATCTGATCAACTGTAGACCAATGTAATATAAAGGAATAAGCTAACAAAACTTACAGATATATCAAGCTGAAAAATCACTGGAGAAAAACAGAACAATCAACATCACAACATTACCTAATAAAGAAAAGAAATTTTGGTATAAAAATAAGTTTATTAGTTATGACAATAAATTATGTACAGTTTTCAGTTGTGAATGATAGGTACCACGCATGCACTCGGTTCACCGACATCTCTTAATAGCAACGCAATCTGGAAAAATTAGAAATTTTCCAGTAATAAAATAACATTTGGAAAATACATGGATATTTAATACTGACAGTTAAAACGAACCTGATCGAATAAAGAAATTAAGTCGTTTTCTGTGGTTATCAATGAATAAAATTTGCCTTAAATTCAAATCAGAGAACGGTTTTGTGGATATTATAGCAATTTATTAGTTGAATTCATGAGTCAATGGAAGTTAGATCACCATCGAAAACTTGGAAGCATTGGACGGCCGTTGCGTTCTAGTATGAGACTCCTCAGCAGTGCGCATTCACGACCTCGCCTCCCGAGATCCGAACCCAGGATATATCGGTCTCGCGCGCGAACGCTTAACCTGTAGACTACTGAGCCGGCAACTAACGGTATTAATGTCTAACTCCAACCAATCCACGAAATTGCGCCACCGTCCACCATAGTCTTCAGTGAGTCACTATCTCGCAACAGACCCGGTTGAACTCCACCGAACTCAGTGGTCTAAAGGTTATGTGTTCGCGCGCGAGACCGATCGTGGATGCGCACTGCTGGAGAGTCCCATACTAAGACGGAACGACCGTCCAGTGCTTCTAGGTTTTCCATTTTGTGAAGATAAAATTGATCGCCCTCACCCGTGTTCTCATTCACAACACATTGATCAGTTCAATTTTCACCTAGCAAGGACTGGTGTACAAATCAAGAAGATTGACGTGTAAATTCTATAGACTAAAATACTTTAACCACTTCATCTTATGTTATTTAGGCTTATTAATATATGTATATCAATCGAGTGAAACTATGTGTTCATGAAATATTACACAGTGGAGACCGTAGCAATTAGAAAGTTACATCGAATCCCCTGACTTCCGTCTCAGCTTCCGGCATTCATGAGCGTAGTGTTTGTGGAAGTACAAAAACCCGATTTAGTGACAGAAAATACCTGTAATATGGTATGCCCTGGTACGGCCGAGAGTGGAGAGTGTCCGCTCACCCTCTCAAAATGCTCCACATGGCCACGCGTATATAGCCTCTGCCAGGGAAATCCTTATCACTGCCTTCTCGTGGCGAGGGTGTTGTTCACGAAAATGAGAGGACGAAAAGAGAATGTCCGGCACTTTAACCGGATCCCAAACTAATGGTGCACATGGGCTCCAGTATCCTGAAGGAACAAATGGCATATGAACCAATCGTTGGTCACCGGCTACCATGGGACTGCATCGCCTTACGATGCTCCACTGCCTTGTAGATCAGATCTTCAGGTCGAAGGCTCGGGGTGTGGCCCCTAAGAAAACCATCTGCTTCGGTTTGAGCACCCGGGCAGTATCACAGCCCACACACAAATCAATTGAGATTCGTGTGGCGCATATGTATCTGGTGCCTCCTTGTACCAATATCTATGTGTTAAAATAAATAAATAAGTATAGAGAAACCTATGAAATAATAATATGAATGGAAGTATTGCATTTTTATTTCAAAAATACATTAGATTACAACAGCAATACAGAAAGAAATTCAATTCATGATAAACAGTACGATATTTACAAAACGAATGAAATTACTCACTTTGTTTTGAAGTTTCGCTTAAAATCGAACATGGACTGTTGGCCACCCTGTAAGAGATAAAATAACATTGATTTCTGAATTAATATAGATTTAACATTGACTTTTTGAATAGGTAGTTTACATTAACTTGATCATGCTGGTTACTGCTTGAATGTGTTTTTAACACAGAAGGAAATTTACTGGGAAACTACTGAAATACAAGTAGAAGATCGTCCTTTGTGTTAAGATGGATTTACATCTCAGAAAACTTCCAATTTATTGAAAGTCACTCAGTAATCAACGTCATCTACATAGCATTAATTATTTTGAATATGTCACTTGTGTGACTGATGCGACATTACAGTAAACCGGTAATATGTTTTTGAAATTACTCCTGGACGGTACGATGTGAAGAAGTAGGTAATATTACTTCCTATTTTAAACAAAGACTAAGTTTTAATTTCGGAAAATATGAGGACTTTACGATATTTTCATGAGAAAACAATTATAAAAACTGAGTATATATACTTCATATTATTACCACAGATTCGAAACTTACCTAGAACTGCGTGAGATCACGTTTATACCTAAAAATTAGTAGAG